AGGAATGCCATTGTGAGTACACATCTGGACTGAGATCATTATGGGTTGTTTAACCTGACTGTGGTTTGAACCTGAACATACCCTGATTTATTACCTTAAATTTCGTTTTCAACTTAGAGAAATCCACAACTTGGAGAAAACAATTCACATTATGTAACCAGCTTTATAATAATTGTGTACATTACTGGATAAAATTAATTCTTACATACTATTGAGTTTAAAAAGTAGATGGTTCCAAACAGCTAAAACCTCATAATTGTTTTAATCATGTTTCAAGAATGCATTTTATTTCTGATAGCTTAGACACCTGTTCAGTTGCTCTTTTGTTGTCCACTTTCTAGGTTTTTGAAGAAGAACATCATATCTTGTATCTGGACCACGGTGGAGTTATTGTGGCCATCAAAGACACTTCTATCCCTCTGAAAATACTCAAGTAATGCTCCAGTCAGTTATAGTATGGCTATTACAAATTTAAGACCTCAATTATAGTTTGGAGTTTAAAATGAGCATTTCAATATGTATGCATTAGAAACCCAGGTGGAGTCATCTTAATTTAACATTCATTAAACCAACAAACTGCAGATGAACATTTTGTTTAAGGTTACCTAATGATGCCATTAGTACAACTAGTAGAATATAACTATCCACATTGGAATCTGGCAATGGTCTGAACTTCTGGGCTTCTATGAGTAATGGACATGTATTGATCACAAACACTTTGTCCTCTGCTTTACATACTACTACTACTATTTCCTCATGATGCTTATAACAGTGTGGGTATATGACCAATTGTCTGGAGAAAAGGATAATGTTAATAAAACATTTGAGAGACTGGGACTAAATTTAGGAAAGAGAAGGGATTTCTGGAGTCACAGTGGTTGGGTGCAGAAAGAAAATGTAGCCTGAACATTAACTTATGTTTTAATTCACACTGTCTTGTCCTTTCAACATCCTTAGAAACCACTTGACAAAATGAGTGAATTTGTGAAATGTGATAGTGTTTATAGTTTTGGTAGTGTTGGAGTGATGTTATAGCCAAAATGATCCAGGAAGTTTGTGAAAATAGTCTTTATAGTGCAGACACCTCTCACAACAATAAACTTAGTAAAATGAAACCAATAATAGGCTCTTAGGAAGATAGCAGGATAGTGCAGTGACAACCTTCAGCACTGACATAACCGAGACAGTCTGGTCATGCAGCCTGCAGCCAGTTTAACAGTAACATTGTTTAATGAAGATGTCAAGCCCTTGGATTTGCTGTTAAGGGAGGCATCACATTTACTTTGTTATTTTAACTAGGCAAATAACTGAATTTTGAGTACAACTGCTTTAAGATTTCATTCAATGTAATACAATAATAATGAGGCTATTTATTAAAGGACTGCAGTGAACAGAGGGCATTTCTCTTTTTACAGATTCAGCATTGATGAGGGCCAGACATGGAGTACACATAATTTTACCAGCACTTCAGTTTTTGTAGATGGACTACTCAGTGAACCTGGAGATGAGACATTAGTCATGACGTAAGTCACTATTCATTCAGGCTACCCTTCAGTGTTTAACCTTGAACTCAAGTGGTCTATGAATCAGTGGCTTTGGTGGCTTGCAATCAAATGAGCTTTTACAATGAGCAGGACTGAACAGCACTGTAATGCAACCTGCCCAAAGTCAAACATTTCAACTATAAACATGAAGTGTAGTGTTTTATATTTTGTATTTCATAGTCATGACCTGAAACAGTGGGGAATAATGGGTGTAAATGCACATTTGAAAAATGGTAGGTAAAAATCATCATCTTCCATATTTTTGTCCTGTTTCTTGTAGTCTCTAAGGTGTTGTTTGCTAATAATAGGTTCCTAGCCTTTTCTGTTATGGAAATTATCTTCTCATAGTAAACCAATAAACTGTTGTCTTAGTAATCTAGCATTGCATTAATGATGTCTAACCAAGTACCCTGTAATGAATACACAGTCTCACTACTTCTCTGTAGTTATTGTGGCATATGCTATTAATAGAATGTTAAATAAGCATACAGCATAACATTTGGTTCTTTAGCTGCATTGCTTAAAAATCTGGGATAACTGGATCCAAGGGGTAGGCTTGTGTCCATCTAAACAAAAATACTCATATTTTTAAACCATCTGGAACTAAGACTCAAAAGCACAAATTATAGACAAGAGCTTTGATAGTCCTTTCTCCATTCTTGTGTTGTCTTCAGGAATCGTAGGAGAAGCAAGAAGGGGGCTTTCACCACCTTTGTACATATTTGGGGGCTTCTTAGGAGGTAGAAGTTTTCCTACCATCTATTGATGTAACCTCATGTCTACCCTTATTGGACTTGGAAAGTAGACTGATTACATTGCATTTGACTGAGGACCAGATCTGGAGTTGCCATTAGACTTTTGAGCAGCTCTACTCTTGTTGCCTTTCATTTGCACTGTATGGTTTAGAAGGAAGTTGAAGCTTTCTCTTCAGAATTTCTCTCTTTTCCCCAATGTTTCTTCCATGCTACGATATATCTATACATAAAATATGTATGTATACATGCGTATGTATATTTGTTCTAATACGGGAGTGTATTAACCTGGATAGTACATTGAATTACCACCAGGATATTGCTTCTGGTAACTTGTTCAGAACCATATCAGGTATTTCTAGATAGCACTGAACTCTGCTGTGTAGACATATTGTAGCAGGGAGCTTGGTGCTCCTGCTACTTTAAGGGAAGGCAGGCTGCAGGAGAGGCAGAGAGCAATCAAGGGAGCCACACATGACCCAAAAGGAGCTGGGCTTTCAGGAAATAAATCCAGGGCTGGAGCTAGGCAGAGCCATGGAGAGAAGAGCTTCTGAGTAAGAGAACTGTAGCAAGGCTCCTGACTAATACTTGAGATGGAGTAGGCAAGGCTGGTGGTTTAGGGACTGAGACTGTAGGGACAGTGAAAGTCTCAACTGACTCGGGAGTGGGGCCAGGGCCTGAGGGATAGGGCCCATGGCCAAGGAGAAAGACCACAGCTGAAGAGGAATGAGAGCAGGCAGGGTCAGGGACCTATAGCCCACAAGGGGCAAGAACCAGGATTAGGGACCCATAGCCCAGGAAGGGCGAGAACCAGGGCCAAAGGGGCCCATAGCCCAGGAGGGATGAAGTCTGTTGGAGGTAATGAGACCTGAGTCCTGGAGGAACAGAGAATGCAGGCTTGAGCCCAAGAGGGGCTGAGATTATTTGAGGTACAGAGGCCCGAGCCCAGGAGGGGCCTGGACGATTAAAGGCACAGAAGCCAGGAGCCCCTGTAGTGGCAGAGATTGTTCCAGGTTTAGAGGCTCACATTGATTGGAGTTGATGCTGGGGCTGAAAGCCCGTGGGTGAGACATGGGTCTTAATGCCCAATGCGACTTAACACCCAATGACAGGGAAGTGATTGTTAATATCTGTGAGGCTTGGGCATGGCCAAAAGGGGAGATGAAGAGGCCACATAATTAGCACTTAAGGTGATGAGCAGTGACATCTGTGTTTAGAGATATGCAATCTCACTTGGGCAGCCCTGGGCAGCTTTCCTTTTGTCTAATAAAGGATAATTACTTCAAGATGTGGCAGGTGAGTTGAAGGGGAGATTGACCAAAGAAAGTAAAGTTGATGAGGGGGGGCTACCAGGGCATCATGACCACCCCTGGGGCAGGACCCCATTGCACATATCCTTAGCCAAAATGGAGTTTAGGACTTGTTTTGTTAACTACTGCTACCAAACTGTGGCATAAACAGCTTCGTCTGGCAAGGGAATATAGTCAGGGAGTCATAATACCAGTCTGACTTTGGTGATTTTGAAGTACCCAGTCTTTAGAAATTTTGGGGGAACAAGAATCAATTTTTATGAGCTTAGATCTGCCACTGCCACATGTCTTAGCTAAAAGATGCTGCTGAACTGTTTTTCCTGTTGTAGGCCCATTTACACAATTTCAGAGATTATGGCATTAATACTGTAGATAGATGGTTTAAGGAAAATAATTTGTCATTGTATTTTTGGAAGTTACTGTACATGAATTTCATTGTAAGAGTTCATCTATGTGTTTCATTGTTTCCATATCAATAGGTTCAGGATACACATCAAAAGTTTTTTGTTGAATAGGTAAACACACAAAGTCAGGCCAGAATTTGAGAGTGATTTCCAGAGTAGAACCACATTTTCAATCACTGTGAGCTCACATGTGAATAGTTAATCCTCACTGCTTCCAAAAATAATGGAAAGAAAGAGAAAATCCATTTTCAAGGCAAAAAGTATACATTTCCATAATTTCCATTGGTCCTGATTATAATTTATTCTTAGGGCTAAGTTTCCAAAAGGGAGAAGTCCTAGCTGATTTATACAGAAATTTAATTTATGTGGGTAGTTATCACAGTGATGCACACAAGTGTCCCCTTAGGCATTGCAATGGGCATTTGTTTGCATAAATACCCAGATTTCAAGCATGACTCTGCAGATTGCTCACACAAATGAGCTGCACGTTCATTTTTCCCAGAGCCACGGGAAGAGTTAAATCTGGTGGGAATAACACCCAACAAGGATAAGCAACGTAAAAACCAATAGTCCCGGTCCCTTTCATTAAGAAAGACAAAAATGAAGGTGGGGTTACTGCCCATTCACTGTTGTGGGGGTGGTTTATGCATTTTCCACTAAACAATAACTGGATGAAAATCCAAAATAACCCTTGGAGCAGGGATGGGATACCAGGAATCTGATTTCCAGCATAGCCTTAGGGGATTCCAGTCCACTTCCACTTTCCAGAAGAGTGCCCTAACCACCAGGCTACAATCCAGACTAGGATGAAGATATTCTTGAGTCTTTCTATTGAAGCTGTGCATCTAGGGAGCCATGAATTGAAGAGTCATGGGGGCAGAAAAACAGCAAGCAAGAGCAAGGATGATTCGGTAGTCAATTGATAGAGACCTACCAAATTCATGGCAGAAGTGGCGTGCACAGTGTCTCCTTTCATCTTGCAGGTTCCCCTGATGATTGGTGGAAGGGCCCCACTTGTGGCTGTCTCCTTACCAGTGGGGAGGTGAAAACTGTGGCCTTAAATATGGTGCTGTGTTTACCCCCTGCCACTGATTGGCTGAGGGGTCCCGGATAGCGCTGCTGTCTGCTGCTGACTGGTGGGGAGTCAAAAACAGTGCCATGTTTAAAACCACAGTTTTAGCTTCCCTGCTGATCAGAAGGGAGAAGTCGAGTCTTCTCTTAATCAGCAGTGAGCAGGGGGCAAGGGGTGAGGTGCGTGCAGGGGAACATGCAAAATTAAAGGAGCCGCTGCACACTGTACTTCTGCCGTGAATTCAGTAGGTCCCTACCAATTGATAAAGACAGCCCATAGAAGGTTCCTGGTGTCCCATCCTCACTCCCAAAATTATTGAGTTTTCAGCCAATTCTTGTTTAATGGAAAATGGATTGTGGGATATTGCATTGAGCTTACAAGTCTAACTGCATTTACCTGAATTACAATACTGAGGCTAGTTACCTAATTTTTTTGATGTTGTAGTGTGTAAGATGGAGGTGCATAGGATGCTTTCTGAATCTTACCTTTAGATACCATGGAAATTAGAGTAATTATGAAGTAGCACAACAATGGGTGGGTGAGTGGGACTTGAGCTCGAGGTGCTGCCTAACAGAGGCAGGAGCTGCCAGAATGGAGCTGGGGGTCACTCCCCCAATGCACACCCTGCACCTTCCCTGCAGCAGCTATAGCTCCAGTAGTGAGGAGGGCAAAGCATCAGCATCAGTGCACAGAATAGGAGAAACAGCATCCAGAGACTTGCTGCTGTGGGGAGGAGGCATCGCACATTAGTGACAAAAAAAGATTGCAACCTCCTGCAGCAGCAAATCTCCAGCCACTACCTCTGCACCACCCATCCAAGGCAGAAAATTGACCAGTTACACTGCTTATGATTAAATAGTGAGGTTGGAATTCTGCTTAAATTTTCACTTCAGTGGGTGAGTCTATGCATGCATTTGATCCGGGACCAGTTTACTTGAGAGTAAACTACTTGTGAATAAATGCTTCCAGGCAGGTGTCTATACATGCAGGGATGTGGGAACAGATTTGCTGTTCCTAGCAGCAAACTGCTCCCACTTCCTGTGGCCCTGCAATGGGCCCTTGCCACAACCAAGGGGAGCTCAAGGCTCTAGCGACAGCTGGCCAGGCACTTCCCTGGCCAGGAGCAGTGTGCACAGAGCAGGGCAGCACATGGCAGTTGTCTCATTGCCACCTCTGCCTCCCCTAGCTAAGGCTGCTTCAGCCTCTGCCCCTGGCAGCAATGCCTAGTGCTCTGGGCTCTTGCTGGCCACTGCACTTGTCCCGCTGGCCCACTGTGCTGACTGCCAGCTGGTCCATGGCCATCTGGGCCCTCCCAGCTCCCCGATGCACAATGACCACCTGCCAGGCTACATTGCACCATCCCAGGGCCATGGGCACCATGTAGCTGCCAGCTGTATCCCCATCCTGCTGGCTGAACCTCAGCAGGGACACTGATGATGTG